AGAACCCCAGGAAGGTCAAGACCAGGACCTCCAAGAACCCCAGGAAGGTCAAGACCAGGACCTCCAAGAACCCCAGGAAGGTCAAGACCAGGACCTCCAAGAACCCCAGGAAGGTCAAGACCAGGACCTCCAAGAACCCCAGGAAGGTCAAGACCAGGACCTCCGAGAACCCCAGGAAGGTCAAGACCAGGACCTCCGAGAACCCCAGGAAGGTCAAGACCAGGACCTCTGAGAACCCCAGGAACGTCCAGAGGGAAAAGACAACGGGAAGTTTAAAGTCGACTAAATATTTGAATCCAGAAATAGTTTGATTGGAGATGTATTATGTATTTGAGTTGTAACCATTGATGGAGCAGAGGAAGTGATGACATCAACTGATGACGACAACAGGAAACAACAGAAGACAGACTCAAGTTCAAAGGTCATTCATGCAAAGCTGTTAAAGCAGTTTCTTAGTTCAATTTCCAGAAAAGCTGATCGGGGTTTTCTGCAGTTACAGCAATGGATGATATTAATAAACTCTATATCTGTACTCGCAGTCGTACTGCCAGTACTCATGTCTTAAAGTACATCTGTATTTGTCTCTGGAGTTGCTTAAAGAACACATTCTTTGAGCCTGATAATAAATCATGATGAGAATCATCATCATCATCATCATCAACCAAACCCCTCTCAGCTGTTCTGGGTTAGCACGGATCAGTTAGTTCATCTGGTCGTGGACCATGTACCTTGAAGATCTCTCCTGGACTGACAGGTGAATTTGTCGAATCCAAAGCCTGATTTTTAATCTTTAATTAAATAAAACACTTTGTTAAATGGATCTCATTGAAAAAGGAAAAAACAGAAAACAGAAATCGTCGTCTTCCTGTCGGGCGGCTCAGCATTTAGAGAATGATGAAACACAAATAAAGATTGAAGGACTGACGGGGACATCAGGGAGACAACGGGGTGGGGTCTACAGGGACTGTAGCTCACCGTGTCCTGGATGTTGAAGGTCACACGTGGTCCAGGAGAGGACGCTACAACACGGACGTCTGACAAATCATCCACTTCACCTATTCTGGAACTGGAGAATGAGAAACATGAGAACGTCATTATCTACAGATGACATCATCGTATTCACAGACAGATATTAAAGTTTCAATCTTTCCTTCCTTTTTTCATTAATAAAACATGAAAATAAAACCGGACGGTCAGAAAGTTCTAGACGTCCAGGTGTCCACCTACTGAGGACACCTGATGTCAAAGGTCAAATACAGACAACCAGAAGCTCATCTGAAATGGTTCTTTCCACTGAGTTCTACTGCACAGAGGTCATGACCCCCCCGACGCCTGCTCCCCCCCCCCCCCCCCCACATCGTTACCTCTGCCTCTCCATCCTCTTCAGAGGAGGACGGCCTGTAGGAGCCGAGATGCTTTTAGAACGGTTGTAGCTGGGTTTGTAGCCCAGACCCCACTTGTCCTTCAGAGAGGCAGCCTGGAGATGAACACACACACACACACACACACACACACACACCGGTCAACAACAGGAAGTCCACACCACCGGTACTAAGAGTACGGAGTACACATTACTTACCCTCATACTAGAGCGGCGCAGTTTTTTCCTCACGTCTCTCCTGATGTCATTGACCGCCACTGACTCCAACTGCTGGTACCGCTGAATCTCCTGGTTGATGGTGCCTTCACTGGCCCCCAACTTCCTGTGGTCATTGAAAGACAAGGCTGTTTGATAAACCCCGCTCTTCTCTCTGTGTGTGGAGACCTTTACATCATGGAGACACTCGGTGCTCACTTCAGGTCGTCGATGACCTTGGCCTGTTCGTTCAGCTCTCTGATGTCCACCACCCTCTTGGAAACTTTCCTCCCCCTGGCGTCCATCACCTGGTTCCCCATCATCATTTGCCTTCTGGGGTCAATGGTCTCCTGTCAAGTCAAACCCAAACATTTATGTCACAAAGACGCGAATGTCAGGACAGAAGCCCAAACCATTTGTTTAGAAGATTGGTTGCCAGGCAGATTCCCAAACCTGTGATTTCAGGTGAATTGAGTTATGATTTAGTAACAACATGTTGTTAACACACAGGGAGAGAAGCCACCACCAGCAACAACACCGCTCCAGTCAAAGTGAAGGAAGTGAAGACAGCCCTAGTGGTAGATCATTTTGTTACGTCTATTTATTTACCCACCACTGGAGGTCAGTAAAATCAAAGGCAAAGCAAAACTATTCTCAATCACGAGGATTCATTTGAAGACCAATCACAGCTCAGCACGATGACATCGTTTGTTAATTTCATCCCAGAGAAAAGTTCTGCACGTCTCTACATACACAGGCCCAGGAGAGCGGCCTCTGGGCCCGGGCGCCGCCCGCTCGGAGGCACGGCGGTGTATAGGTTAAGCAGTCGGCTGGGACAGAAACACTCTGGGGCCTGGGACTGAGGCCCAGGATGTGGTTCACCAGGCGCTTCTTTAAGGTCAGCCGAGGGCTGAACTGGCATTCTGGACTCTGTGGACAGTGGCAGGAACACAAGGATGGGAATCTGAGAAGAACCAGTGAGTGTATCCTCTGAAGAAGTGAGTGACTGTGAAGTTCCACTGGATTCCAGTGTCCCACTTCAACACACATGTAGGTCTGTAAATGAGTGAGGCTCTTCTACCAGAGGTCCTGCTGACTGACCATGTGG